AAGAACAACAACAAAATGGAAAAGTATACATATATATATACACACATATATATATATATATATAAAGAAAAACAACAAAAAAACAAAACAAAACAACAAAAAAAACAACCACAAAAATGGCGAAAAAAAGCATAAAAAAAACAATTGATATTTACACTTAGTGAAGCAAAAAAGGAAAACAAAAAAAGCGGAAAGTAATATTAAAAGCAAACAAAAAAAACCAAAAAGAAAAGAAAAAGAAAAACGATGCAAATGTGTAAGAAATAAACCCCGTCCTGCATAAATAAAATTAAATAAAAGAATAAATAAATGGAAACGTAAAGAATATCATAATGCAAAAAAGATTTACACAAACATATAAAAAATGCAAAACGCATATAAGAACAACAAAAGCAAAAAACGCAAGAAAAAGCTGCAACAAAATTACATATAACAAAAATCGGATGTGTTTTTGTCGTAGTCTCATCATTGAAAATAAAAAAAAAAAACAAAACAAAAAACAAACAAAAGATGAATGAAATTTTCAAACAAAAAATTGAAGCTGCAAGGAAAAGCAAAGTAAAATTTGTGTAACTCTCTTTTTGTCCAACTATGATTTTTGCATAACGGATGGCCAGAGAGACGTATAAGAAAATTTAAATATTAAATGTACTCAAAGACAATTGTAATTGCAACAATAATTGTACGCTATATATACTATTATTAATGTGGAAAAGATTTCAGCATTCGGCATTGGTTGGTCCCTGGTGGGTTGGTCCATTGTCCATGGTCCATGGTCCATGGTACATGGCTCTTGGTCCTTGGTCCTTGATCTTTGATCCTTGATCCGGATCGGTATTTTGGCGGGGGATCAGATGCAGATACAGATATATACACACACAGAGAAATATAGAGATGTGCTCCTGCTTCTACTCGTACTCGTACTCCTCCTCGGATGCTGGGCCCAGGCCAATGCCAGACAATGGCAAATTGTAAAATCCCAAAGATGAAAAACCAAAACACATACAACATAAGAATGCAAAGGAAACAAACAAACAACAACAGCAACAACAAGAAAGAAAACCAAAAAAAACAACAACAACTTTCAATGTATAATCATTTCATTTTATTTTAGATTTTTGTGTTCTTTTTCGAAATATTTTGCATAAATAAAATAAAGTAACAGAAAAACAAACAATCCGCCCCCAATGCCGCAAATTAACTGCTTTATGGGTGGGTGTGGGTGTGGAGGGCTAGAAATAGGTGCACGGGAAAGGGGCACGGGGTAGGTAACCTCAAGATTATATTGATTTATTTAATATAGTTGCCAGCCAGCTGATGGGTCATATATTTCAGCGATATATCGCCACGAACCTAATCAATTTCCCCCCATTGCCATTCGGATTAGCATTGATAAGAGGGAAATGGATTCAACAAGAGCTTTCGCCGTCTCGAGGATAATCCAAGTGTAAATCTCCGGCAGAGGATAAACTTAAATTGGAAACTGTTATTCGAATTATCACACCACCCACCCCACGACTAGAGTGCACCCAACTCTCAAGTTTCAAGGAGACTGAATAGAATAAATTACATGAAGTATTCTGGAGGGCTGCTTCAAAGGAAAACCATAGATATAACTTATAGTTCAACGCGAATAGATAAGTCTATGGATTGCCTTATCTATAAATTACGGCACCCTGAGCTCCTCTGGTCATCCTCTGTGATTCATCTTTAAAGTATCGTGGCCTAAGCCCCCTCTAGAGATAGCCAGCATATTAGCTTTGCTGTGCGGACATCCAAGAATGCCAAAGAGTCTGACCAGAGGACAGACAGTCAGGCAGTCACACAGACAGACTTCTAAGCCGCAGTTCTAACGGTGACAGAGGGAGAGAGAGGGAGAGAGAGGTGGGGCTGGTAGCTACACATAGAGACATGTGTACAGGTGTGTGCACATTATGAGTTTCCAGCTCGAGTGTGCCTACAAGCCTTTACAATAAATCACTTGAGTACGTATACGTGAAATCAATGTAAAGCACTTCAGTCTATCAAGTGTCCGAAGCATGAAAATTGACGTACATTTTGATATATGGGCGAAAGAGCTGCTGGCTGGCTGGGCTTCGTTTTGGATTGGTTGGACTCAGTTTTGGTTTGGTTATTGGAGCACACAAACACACACACACAGGCACACGGTTGATCGATGTAGAACTCCGTGGAACTATGTGGAGCACGGTTGGACAGATAGTGATCTTTCTTTGAAATAGTTCGAGTCGCAGTGCAGTACCGTCACCAGGCATAAACTTTCCAAAGTGCATTCTGCATTCTGAAGTGTGTTCGACAAGTGGCGCACTGTCCACAGTCCTCCGGGTACATGACAAATGACAAACAGACCACTTACCGGTCCGTGCATCGTGCGCCGTGCACCGCCGCCTTCACCGTGCAGACAATTGCGCCTCTCTATCGGAACAAATGTTACAAACACACACACACACACACACAGCTACGTACAGATACACAGATAGAGTGGCAGATACAGCCACAGATACCGCAGATAGAGCCGCAGGTGTCTTGGCCGATTTCTGAACAACTTTGGAATGCACTTGAGCGAATTGGGTGTCGAACATGCGACCGGCGGCTGGAAGTGGAAGTGGAAGAGCAACAACAAATCCAAGGTACTCCACCAGTTGTGCGAAATTTCTGATTTGAACTTGGCACTACTCAGATTGTAGCTGGTAACTCCTTTGGGTATAGCTTTTCACTACCAAAAATGAGTTCTTCCCATCGCAAAATAATTAAAATAGATCCCCCAGTCTCCCTTGAGCTTTTTTATGCTCATTATTAAGTATTTTAATATGTTTTTTAATTCCATTCCATGATGACCATTTAATCGTTAACATGCCCGTTGCCATTGCCATTGCCATTATCATTGTGAGTTGTGTATTTTCGGCTGTCAAACAGAGCTGCGCAACGGATGTGACAAGATGTCTGCGAAGAGATACAGATACATTTCCAGAACCAGAACCAGTGCCAGAGCCAGCGCCAGGAACAGATCGCGATCGTGTAGGCCAAGAAGCTTTCGCAATTAAAATTAGACAAGGCCAACACCATAGACCAAGGGGGCGGTCGATTTCGATCGACCATTCATGGCGTTTTGGCATTCGCAGGTCCCCGGTAAGTCAGATAAGGGCATAAACAAAATGCTGCCTGCAAGTGTGTGTGCGATAGAGACGGCCAGTGTGACGCCAACCGAAAGCAGCGACAGCGACATATGTATGTAGGTTTGTGGCTAGTAGGGGGGGCTGTCCCGCCCCACTCTGGTGGTGGTGGTGGTGGTGTTGGTGGGGTGACCAGCGATAACAAGCGAAGATTGGAAACGGTAGCCCTGCTCTCCTATCTGATAAGCTACGGAGCAAGGCGAACCGGGTAGAACAGGGCTCCAAACTAAGTCAAAACATGTTCCTACAAACATTAAAGACCGAACCCCACATTCAAATTCCATTGATTAGCCCCTGGGGCACATTGCCATCCCATCTCCCAATCTCTCACTACCAATCCCTCACTCGCACTCCCACTCTCACATAACCATGCGCATCCCCATCCAACCCCAATCCCCCATCCCCGTGAGCAAGCAAGCAGCCAGCAAGCATATCAGAGCTGTAATATCTGTTCGAAAAAGGTAGCTGGCAGAGCTATGTAGGTTGTTTCCATAGTGTACGGGGCATTATCACGGGGGACCCTATCGTCACTGATATCACCAGCTCGACTCTTGTGCAAACAGAAACCAAAATAAAAACAAAATAAAACCAAATGCGAGTGCCCGTACACAGTGCTGAAGGTAGTCGTCGGCGCTGGCCGGAGCCACACGGGAGTTTTATGGGCCCCAACTCCCGATCGGAGAGCGATATTATTTGACAATAAACATACGCGCCACATAATCGCCTTCAATAATAATAATATCGCTTTTGGGGAATTATTATTACTTACTGTTATTATTATTTTATGATTCGGCTTGAGCTCGGCAGCCCGGCAGCTCGGCAGCCTGGGCTTGGCAGCCATCCATCCAGGTATCACCTTGGTCAAGTGGGGAGGTCTTACGAATGCCAATTAAGATATTTATCGGCGAGCACTCGACCAATTTATTCATTCGCCCACTGATGGATTGGTCAGAGTGTCTTTGGTGTCTATGAGTGGACCTGCTCAACAATGGCCAATACCAGTGGGCACCCCACTCCCAAGGGGTTACTTTTGGGGGGTAAATTAAGGATCAAATAAATATCAATTAAAGTATTTAGAATGGGGGTAAAAAAAGGGAGATAAAAGATATAATTAAGTAAGGGAATTGAAGAGTAAAATTCAGAGCTATCAGCACCAAAGAAATAGCCTAGATTAGGGATACTCTGAAGGAAAGAATCCATGCAAAATAAATAAACTTGGTAAGCGATCGATCGGGACATATCAATAGTACCAGCTGTGATCTCCTTTGGATGAAGTACACCCGCTTGGTGCATTCCGTTTCCACTGCCAATCGTTTAGCCCACACCACTGTGCACCGCTCAGCAGCAGCACCACCAGCAAGCAAATCAGTTGAAAAAAAAAATACAAATCGAAAAGGGGGGGATACAAGAACAAATATAAGCAAAAACCCCGATTTGGGGCGTTGCGAGCAAGTATCTCCCTCTTTCGCTCTCCGAGTGGAATACCTCTGTCTCTTTCTTTCTACCGGGCCTGTCAGCGATATCTGCAGGGCCCGCACACACGGACACGGGACACCGGACACGGCCACAAACGTGGACTCGGACGCGGAATGCTTTATCGCGGTCCCAGTACCAGTCGCTGTAGCTGTTAGCTGTAGCTGTAGCTGTCGATGTTCTTGTGTACACTTATTGATATTTGTTTAACTCAGTTATTTCCCTCTCCGGCCGCTATCCGCTATCCGCTCTCCTGGTGCGTGTTTTGTTTAATACCTATTTGACTTTAATAAGTGATTGTTGTACCATTTAAAGTGTCCCTCGTTGCGCCACTCCAGCTGTCCCAGTCCCAGTCCCACTTCCCAGTTCTTCGTCCGTGTGTGTGTATGTGGATCATCGTGCAGCAAGAGCTTCTGGCCTCAGGGGTCCCTTCATTGGCAGTACGACATTGTCAGTGGGTACCATTCGACGTGGAACGCATCGAATGCCGATCGCCAGCTTCGTGTCGCGTCGCGTTTGCCAGAGCGAGAGCTTTCACAGCCATCGAGTGAGTGCCAGAGCGGGAAAGCGAGAGCGCATGCGCATCTGCATCTGCATTGGTCATAGTAACGGACAGGCGAACAGGCGGACACTCAGACAGCGGACAGCAGACAGCGGAAAGCGGACAGATTGTTTTAGCTGATTGCGAGTGGCAGCGTTTTTATGGCTTATTGAAATCGGCAAACGGCAGTCAAAAAGCGCGCGCTCCGCAGCCCACAACTCGGAGAGACCACCTCCCACTCGAGACCGTAAACTGTTAACCGTAAACCATCGACCGTAAATCCAGACTCTTTCGGCACCGATAGAGTTGGCAAAAATGTAGCTCTCGATCGAAGTGCAATTGAATAATAAATCAAAGTTCGCGCCACAGCTTAATGGTTGTACGAGTACACACAAATTATAAAGTGATCGTGCATTAAAAACCGATCGACAACCACATACAATACGTGCATATGTATAGGCCACTCCAGGCACATCAGCATTTACCCCCAAGCCCCCACATCGGCTGTCATCGCGAAGTGCAAATAATTAACCGTCGCGAGCTTACAAAATTAATTCATTAAATGTGCCACTGACTACACAATTTTTTTGCAATTATTTTATCGTTTCTGTTTCCTTTCGGCTGAGTTTTGGTTTTGTTCCGATTATCCTCCTGGCGGCAGGCAGCACGCGAGAGCCCCCTAACAATAATTATGAGCAATTATAATCCGAATTGCGGTTACTTCGAGGATTGCAGCTACTACACGAACAATGTGTACCAACAGGATTATTGCATGCAGCCGGATTACGAGTACAACAAGCATGTATACGAGTAAGTAAAGCACACGGGGCGGGTGCCCCGATCCCCGTCTTCCTTAGCTGTCGCCCAGCCCAGGCTGGGTCGTCCAATCAGCCTACTCGAAGGGCTGAGCTGGGCTGAATAAACAAAACTAAGCTCTGATCATTGCTATAAATGATGCAAATCACACAGAGATAGATTATTTCAGTATTATTTTTCTATTTTTATCATCTTCCATACCACTGAAGGGCGTGTGAGTGCGACCCACTGAAGCCCAAGCCCAGATCTGATCATAGGTGAAGATCCATTAAACCATTTCTTTGAGCAAATATTTTATCTCTGCTCATATGCAAAATGATATACAAAATTAGCCCAAGATTAGCCTTAAATTTCATACGAAGCGAGCTGTCAACTAAAGCATATTTCTATATAAATTCCTAACAATAATCTTCGGAGATCTGTAAAAGAGTGCCTCAAGTAATAGAGGCACATTCATTCATTAAATTTTTTATCAGTCAATTGGATCGCTTTGCGGCCTTCTTGTGCCGTATCAAGTACTTGATCAAGGGGGCAAAGTTTATGGATTGTTTTTTTTTTTCATTCAGTCATTTCGTTTGCCAGACATCAATGAACCAAATGAGTTGAAACAAAACAGGAATGACTTGTAGGAAAAACGCAAATTGGCTGGCAAGGCAGAAGATCTGAAGATCAATATTATATATAATATATAATAATATTGGGTGTGTTAGAATAGAATTGGTATTCTCCTAAGATATTTATTCGTTGCGTGTTTTAATGGAATAAACAAATTTTAATTATGAATTGAGTACCTGATCACATGAAATTCCCCACACTTTGATCTGTGGCTGATTGCTGTTCTGTTGTGGGCTGTTTCCTTGGCTGATCCGTGAGCAAATCCGCCCAACAACAGGCGAGGGCGAGGGAAGTGTCAAAATATTTCCTGGAAATCGATGAGGCAATTAAAAACAATTTGATTTAAAATCAGCTAAGAAAACACAACCCAAGCCGAGCTAAGAAAACAACAGCACACAGGACACCCGGACACCAGGACACCAGGACACCAGGACACTGACACGGACAGTAAGGAGGCGGACAAACAGAATTTGGGAAGTATTGGGATCAAAGCAAAACGTATTAACATTAAATGGCATAACATAATGAAATTGTATTGGCTACCGAACCGGATCGAAATGAACTCAGTTGAGTCTCTCCCTCCCTCTCCATCTCTCTCTCTATCTCTCTCTCGCTCACTCTTTTTTCCTCTGATCGCATAGATCGTAGAACTTAAATCCCTGATTTTCGCACACGGCTAGGCTCGGCTCTGCTCCGCTCTGCTCTGCTCGTCGTGTGTTGGCCCTAAGCCAATGTTACGGCATTGTGAATGGACTACAGTTAGCCAGGATCCCTCGGCTCACTGACTGACTGCTTGGATGGATGGATGGCTGGCTGTACGATAAGCCGAGGCAAAAAGGTGTCAAACGAGACGAGAGACGAGACGAGACCCGAGCAAACCAGACCAGACCAGCACAGTACAGGATAGGGTAGGGAGCTGAACAGAACATAACCATATAGAAGAGAAGAGAACAGAGAACAGAACAGAACAGAGTAGAGCCGAAACCAACAATGCGCATTATTTCCACTTTGTCACCTTTTCGTTTGCCCTTGCGAACTGCGGCGGGTTTTTGAAAAACCAAAACACATGTTTAGTGAAATCGTTTGGAAAATCACACAAACAATACTCAGTCTGAGCAAGAAAGAGAGAGAGAGAGAGAGAGAGAGGGAGAGAGAGCACACATTTGACAGGCAAAAATTTTGGTTTAATTGGGTTTGTCCATAATCGTTGCATCGAACCCTCGGATAATCTGGGATAATGCTGTTTGTGCCAAATAAAACCAATTCCATTTATTTGTACTTTATGTCATGTTCTCTATTCGCTCTCACTCTCTGCTTATTCATTGATGGATCTGCTCCGACTCAGTCTGCGACTCAGTCTCCGTCTCAGTCCTCAGACCCCGTCCCAGTATCTGCACTGGAATTTCCAATCCTCCTTCGTGTGTGCCTCCTGCCCCATATGGTGGCAAGTTGGGTTTTCCTTCAGTCCTCACAGGTGTCGTGTCCCTTGAACAATTTGTTGCTTGTGTGATCGCCAGCGACTGATGTTTTTTGTTTTGTTTTGTTTTTGTTTCTGCACGTTCATCGAGACTTTTAGCGAAACTTCTGCCTTCGGCCCACTTGTCTTTGGACTACAGAAAGGGAGGGACGGCAACTTGAAGCGCACCAGAGAGCACACCAAAGGATATGGACACGCCACACTTGTTTGAGCACGGCCCTGCCCTGAAATATGAAGTTCGAAAAAATAATTTCATTTGATGCCGTCGCCGCGAACGCAGCTCCCCAAAAACGCAGTCACCCAAGTTGAACGTACTCCAAAAAACAAAACAAAACCAAAAAAAAAAAAAAAAACAGAAAGAAAAACCAGCGAAAAAACTACAGAAAACATATATAAAAAAAAAAAAACAGACCCAGAGAAACCATCACGAAAAATACAATAAAAAAAAAAGTCGAAAGCTTTCAAATGCCTGGGAATGTGTGCACATGTCCCCGCGACAACGCAGAAGGCGACGTCGGATGAGCCAGGAAGTAAACAAGGCCCAAACCCAAAGAAATTACCCAAGGCAGGCTGGCAGCAGGTCGAGCCTTGTGATACCCTTGCAGATTGCTCGATTTATCATATACAAAAGGAAGTACCGAGTATTGTGGACTGAGCTTGAACCGAGTTAACTTCCATTTAAAAAAACTGCGAAGACAGGCCGAGCAGCTCGTCTGTTAATACTGCACAAGAATATTTATGCCTTGTAAAGTCGGAGATGTTTCTTTCAGGCATTCTTCCAGTTTGTTTTTTATAGGGTATTCTCTCTTCTTTGATATGCTCCAAATGAATTCGATTTGCGACCCTTACGCTGCGATAATTTGTATTTATGTTTGTTTCGTTTTTTTTTGATTTGTTCTTTCTCAAATATTAATGCCAAGTCCTGGCTTCGGCCCACCAGGGCTGCCATTACCACAGGGATTTGTGTAGGCAGAGTTCTTAAATTTATGTTAAATGAAGCCTGAGAGAAATATCTGAGATGCCATCAAAGAAGTCTTCTCAAGCTCAGCTCACAATGGTTTAAATTTTGAGCTACTTGCCAGCCCTGAACTGCACTGGACTGGCTGGCTGGCTGGCTGGCTGTCTGTCTGTCGTTTATGTCTTTTCTCAGGAAACTGTCACCCGCCAAATAGACGGAAACTTTTTCACCTTTTTTCGACTGGCTGGGCTTCTGGGTGGCTTAAACGGTGCTGTCAAAGCGACGGCCACTTGCCCCAGGGCCCCCCAGGAGATGGTTCCGGGGCGGGTCCCGTCTTATGTCTGTACCTCTGCATGTCAGCCAAATTGTCAGAGCCGAAGAAGTTGGTGCGGCACAAAAAAAACAAGACTGAAATAAAAATCAGAAAACAGAAATCAGAAATTGATACATTTCACAATTTTGTTGCAGTTGCAGCTCGTTTGGGGCGACGCGTGACTTAGTGACATTTAATGCCAGTTTGTCAGCCAGTTTTGCCACTGGCATTGCATTGCACGACTGACTGATGCCGTGCACGCCGATGCGAAGGCGAAGGCGAATTCGAATGCGAATATAACACAATGAAATTTGCATCCAAGACATCCAAGTCGGGTGGGGGTCGGGGGTCGATCGGCTTTGATGGGCCTATAATGAAGCATGTGATTGCCTGAAGTGTCACGGACGCGAGAGAGAGAGAGGCAAATGGGGGCGGATCGTGTCTCAAGTTGTTTTTGGCACATTTCTAATGTGACATGAGCTTCGAAATCGGGCTGGAAAATTACAAGAAAATATACATAGATACCCTTTTACTTAGAGGTGCAAAATATGTATATAATAAGCTACTACTAATAAAGGGACTTGTGTACATATTAATATACATTTTAATTCTACCAAAAACTATGAAAAATATACTTCGAATATGGGGAGGGGGATAAAGCCAACGACATATAATTAAAGTTGCAATTTAACGATTTATATTCACATACGTTTTACTGCAATAATATAACTAAAGAATCATAAAAAGCTCACTCACGAAAATATTTTAAATATGCTGTCAAAGAAGACAGAAGACAGATATCCACAGACACCTCTAAAATATGTAAATATTTGGAAAGGGATTTGTTAAATTTAAATTTATGCGTAACATTAAATTAAAATTTTAAATTTTATGGGCTGCAAAATAAATATATACAAAATGAGCTAAAGCATACATATGATCCATGGCAATTAAAGATTTATTGTAATAGACAGCTACAGGTGGCATTGATACTGCAGATACATATACAGATCTGTTTTGCAGGTATAATATGATATGATTCATGATGATACGCAGAGATTAAAAATCAATACCTTGACTTTCAAATATATTAAATTACATTAATTATATTTATAAATTATATAAATAAATATAAAATATTAAATTACATTAATTATATTTATAAATTATATTATATTTAATTATATTAAATTGCGCAACTAATACTAGGCATAATAAAATTCAATGCTTTCATACTGGGGCCAGTTAAATTGTAACATGAGTTAAACATTTCGAATGGAGTTTCTTTTGATTAGTTGACTGCTTGAGTGAATTTTCAAAGGTGTTCGTTCCAACTCAGATGCCGATCATTTGTGCTGGGGAGCACCATGACCACCGCAAATGGGCAAAGGTGATGTTTGAAAAAAAAAAAAGCAAATGAAATTAGAAAACAAAGCACAACCAAACAAAGAGACGGAGCAGGGAGCATGGAGGAAGGAGGAAAGAGTCGAAATGAGCATTGTGCCGCTACGCACGCTGAGCCATTCATGAAAATATTGCAATTGAAGCTGGCAGGCAATTGCCTGGGCATTTGAAATAAATTGCAAATGTATCTAACGGCTGACTCCAGCTGTGAAGGAAGTAGGAAGTGT